CCCAGGGGAGCACCAGAGTCCTGCCTGGCTGTACTGAGCAGCATCTGAAGTGGGAAACTCAGTTCCATATCAAGTGCTGAAGGATCATTTACTTTTCAAGGGGCAGTTGGAGTGTCTCAGCTCTGGGACTGGGAGCTGAGCTGGTTCCAGAGGGCTCTTTGAAGTGGTGCTCACACCCCTCCAGGGCTGAAGGAGCCCTTTAATGGCTCAGGTTTCCAGGGACACTTGGAAAACCCTTTTAAAACCAGCAAACATCCCGGCTGCTCTTTCCAGAGCCACAGTTTTACCCACCAAAACACAGGCATGTTTTCAGCTGTGCCCTTGGAAGTTCAGCCACTTCCAATAACAGACCTGAGCTGACACTGGGCTGAACTCACAACCTCCTGCCACAGCCACGTTGCAATGCTCAGGGGCTGGTGTTTGTCCTAACACTTTTGGAGCTCCAAGTGAAGGGGCTAAATGGTTTTCCTTCTCCATGTTAGATGAATGAAGCTCCTTTAAATTCTATTTTATAATGGAATTTTTAAACCTTTCTGTGATCAGTTTTTCCTTTCCCTCAAGACATTGCTGAATCCTTCACACTCTTTTGCTCAGTGATCTGAATCTCAACCAGAGGCAATAATCCAAAATCCCAAAGCATTTAAGATACATTATTCTGTTTATATCTTATTTTATCCTATTACCACTGACCAGGAGATATTTTGAGGCAAATTGCTCAAGATTGTACCAAAGTTTCCATCGTACCAATTTCGAATTTCCATTCCCTCAGCAGGGCCAGGTCTCCACTACAATGAAAACATGAAGAGCCCCAGTTCAGTGAGCCTGTGGTGGGCAGTTGCCTAATTAGCACTGTGAAATTTAGGTTAAGATTTTAGGATTTCACTCCTCTTTTTCCCCTTTGCAGCCAACTCAAGATGACGACGGCCACGCCACTGACCAATAACACTCAGCTCTCAGTGAATGTGACCACAAAGTCCCAAGAGCACAATCTCTATCAAAGTAAGGAAAGGACTGGGGTGGTGGCTCTTTTTGGTTTTAAGTGGACTTTGAACTTATCAAACTTCAAACACTACAGTGACAATTTTGTAAATATGGCTTTTTTCCCTTCCTGCTTCTCTCCCAGGCTCTGGAGCAATAGTTGCTGCCATCGTGGTGGGGGTGATTATCATTTTCACAGTGGTTCTGCTCATCCTGAAAACATACAACAGGTACGTGACCATGGCAAACCAGGATGGACCAAAGTCCCTGCTCTCAGCTCACAGAGCATTCCAGGGCTCGCTGCTGAAAATTCCCAGGGGACTCTAAGCACTGAAGTGCTGATTGCAGTGCACTGGATCTCACTGGCAGTGCTCTGTGGCTGGATCTTAGGAAGCACAAAGAGCTCCTTGATGGGGGCTGCAGGGTGGGAGCTCTTTTTAGGGATTCCTGGTGTGCACCCAGGCTGCCAGAGGGAGAGCTTGATTCCTCACTTCTCAGAGCTCACACGTTCTGGGAGGACTTTTGGTATCTCGGGGATGAAATCCTGGCTTGGCTTGACTGGGTTGTGTGGGAACCTCCCCAAAAGTTACCCTGGGAGAGGAGAGCCCAGCCCAGGTGCCAATTCCCCTTTTACCTTTGCCAGGCGCATGCGAGTGCGGCGGGAGCTGGAACCCAAAGGCTCCAAGCTGGCAGTGCCACCTCCTGTGGGGCACAGCAGCCACAGCCTGGCCCAGCAGCCCTCGGTGACCTTCATCCCTGTGGACATCCACCTGCAGAGCAGGTAACCATTCACCTGCCAGAGAAGAGATGGAACTGTCACCCCACGGAGCTGGGACTGCTCAGAGCTGCACTGGCAGCAGCAGCCGGTGTCATTCCCTCTGTGAAGTGATTCAAACCCTGGTTCCTCGCTTTGGGAGGAAAAACCAGAGGTCTGGACACTTCTGCTGTGGCTGAAATAACAGGTGGAGGTCTAGGAATCATCGGGATGGCAGCGAGGCCTCCTCTGGGTCTGATAAACCAGGAAGAGAAGATGCCCAGGTTTGGTGGAGCTTTTGCTTCCTCAGAGACTCTGCACCCTCTCTGTTCTGCTGATGAACTGGAGGAAAAGTCTGGACATGCCCCAAAGCCAGGGTGGACCTGAGTTTGTTACGAGTTACATGGAAGAGGTTTGTGGATTATCAAAATTGTATTTATCTTTACTCATATTTCATGTTTCTAATCTCACATATGTACAGGTTGAGGAAAAGTTCCTTCCTATTTTCAAGTATTTTTAAACTATTTCTATAAACTCTGTAACTCTCCATTTCTGAAGGAACTCAGTGTCTGAGGGGTTTCACTCTCAATTCAGGTTCATGGCTGGAGCTGTCTTAGAATGCTCTGTCTTACACAAAATCCGAGTCCTTTAACTGAAAAAAATAAGCATGGAAATAGAAAAAACCAGCTTGGACAAAGCAGGGGAGGCTCTGTGCAGCCCCAATGTGCTGCTCACCCTGCAGGGCTTTGTTCTCTGGTGCAGCCCAACTATTTTTAGCCGTTTTTTATTCTCAAACCAACCCAAAGCGAGGCTGTTCTGTGAGTGTCAGGGCTGTGGGTGTGCAGCAGTGGCACAAAGGAATTCCCAGGGACACTCAGAGCCCACGGGGTGGGAACACTGAGCACCATTGTCAGCCACTGACTGCCAGATTGTCTGAGATTTTATATTTTGTATTTTTTTCCAATAAGCTTGGGTCTCTTGAGCAGGTCAGTTTAACTAACTGGTGATTTTTATTGTACAGGAACTAAATTCAATTACTTTGCAATATTCTTTTTTGGCTGAAACTGGAGCACGGTTTGGATTCCAAACCAAATATTGAGACAGCTGTTTGTGAAGTTTCTGAATCTCCTTGTAAATATTTCTCCTGTCCTGGTTCTTTACCTTATTTTTTGTGGCAGGGAGGATTGATTTAAGAATTCAAAAGGGACAGCAGATGCACATCTAATTTTTTTTTTCCAAAAAAATATAAAGGAGCTGGTTTTCTGTTTCTGTCTCTGGATGTTCTCTGAGCAGTTTCATGGGATCAAAATCAAGATTTTTGGGGAAGATAAGCCCATCTTACTGTTGTTGTCTTTAACATCCCTAGCCAGACCCACTTGTAGCACATTTTGTTTACTTTCCATTTGCTTCATTTCAAGCCAGCACAGTTCACAAGCAGAGTAAGCAGAACCACTGCAAGCAGCTCCAGTTTCACAGCATTACTATTGCTGGCAGCAGAATTGGCTGCTGGGGCCACAGCAGCATTGCTCCAGCTGAAAAATTCAAATACCACTAAAATCTGCATCACATTGGCACCTCCTGGGAGGCCCCAACCCCTCCTGACAGCAAAAGCCAGAGCTTGTGCTGAGCAAGCAAAACACCTTCTCAAGGAACAAAAATCCCTGCTCTGTGCCATTTGCTGTGGATTTGAGCTTTCCAGGAACAATCCCACACTCTCCCTGCCCTGGTAACATCAGCTGCCTCAGGGCTGATCCAGCCTGTCCTGATTTGGCCCCCAGGTTCCACTTCCAAACACAGAGATTTTGGGAATGCTCCCCCTCAGCTGGCCCCGCCTTGCAAGAATCAATTGTTGGTTTTTTCCTCCTGAAAGTTCTACAGGATCTTCATCAGGTCAGATCCTCCAGCTGGAATTTCACTGATCCAGATACTCTGGAAAAATGTTTAATTTTTCACTGCTGGGTAAGTCCTGAACCCAAAACTCAGCTCTCCCCTCTGATTTCCATCCTCCTTGTCCCAGCAGAGGGCACGGAGCTCCACCTAGTGTCCTCCTGCCTTCCCACGGGCTCTAAGTCCTGTTCCTCAACAAAAACATAAAGCAATTCCAGCTTCAGCTGTCACCTTTACTGAAGTCCCTCATCCACAGTGCCAGGGCTGTTGAGCAACTGAGTCAAGCACTGTCCCAAGTTTGGCTGTGCAAGACTCAGATTATTACAGGTCTAAGCAGATAAAATATGATCATTTCCCTTGGGTTTTATTCCTGAGCCCCATAACCAATTTATTTCCCAAAAATGCATCCGTAATTCAGCCCAGAAGGAGCCACAGAGATCAGTGACCCACACCAGTCACTCCAGTTTGTCCGGAGTGGGATGGGCTCATGACTTCTCCAAAGGACCAGAAAGGCAGGGAGCTGCTGGAGGGGGTCCAGTGGAGGCCACAAAGATGATTCGGGGTCTGGAGCATCTCCCTGATGAGGAGACTGCAGGAGGTGGGCCTGGTTATTCTGGAGGAGGAAAGGCTGAGAGGGCATACCATAAACCCATAAAATAACCCAAGGGCTGTCAGAGGACGGTACCAGGCTCTGTTCAGGGACAGGATGAGGAGCAATGGCCATAAAATAAAACACAACGAGTTCCACCTCAACGTGAGGAAGAACTTCTTTTCATGAGGGTGGCAGAGCCCTGGAACAGCTGCCCAGGGAAGGCTGGAGTCTCCCTCTGTGGGGACATCCCAAACCCACCTGGACGTGTCCCTGTGCCACCTGGTGACCCTGCCTGGGCACGGGTTGGGCTGGGACATCGCCAGAGGCCCCCTCCAACCCCAACTCTTCTGTGACCTCTTCAGAGCCCTGCCTTGCGCTCAGGGACCTCTGTTATTCTGGGAAGGAGCCGAGGGGCATTGCCGAGGGGTCGCTGCCGGAGGCTGAGGCGGCTGCGCCCTCACGATCCCGACCGGCCCCGCCGCCATCCCTGAGGGAGCCGCGGCCGTGAGGGCACCGGAGATCTCGCGAGACACCGACATCAGCAATAGCTGCGGGGGCCAACATCTCGCGAGAGCGCGATTCACTGACGCGCTCACCCCCGCGCGCGCGCGCCGGAGCAGCCGCGCTCTCTCATTGGCCCGGCTCCCGCGCGCGCGCCGGCGCTCCGCCAATCAGCAAGCTGCGCAGGGAAACCCTGCGCGGCGCGCGCCTGGCTCCGCCCACCCTCTCGCGCCCCTCCCGCCTTCCCTCCCTCCCCCACACCCCCGGCACGGCTGAGGGGGCGCGCGGTGCACGCCGGGACGGCAGCGCGCGCCGCGGCCGGGAGGAGGCGGAGGAGCCAAGATGGACGCCGGGTTCTTCCGCGTAAGTGCCGGCCCGGGGGGCCATGAGGGAGGGCGGTTGGACGGCGCGGCGGCCCCGCCGGGGCACGGGGGCACCGCCCGGCCCCGCTGCAGGCCCGCGCTGGAACCGCGCTGCCCCGCGCGGCGCCGCCGTGCCCCCCCGCCCCCGCCCTGCGCAGGCTCCTCGCCGCGGAGAAAATGGCGGCGGGAAGAGGCCGCGGCGGCGCGGCCCGGGCGGCAGCGCGGGGATCGAGCGGCTCCGGGCCGGACTCGGCACGGGGGGAGGCTCCGCGGGCGCCCCCGGGGCTGCGCTCCCCGGCCAGGCTCCTCACGGGGCCCGGAGCGGCCCCGGCCCCGGAGGTCCCGACCCACGCGGGGCCGTGTCACCGCTGCTGCCCCCAGGCGCGGGGGGAGAGGGGCCGAAGGGCTCCGAGCGGCCAGCCCAGGTTTGCGCTGTCCGCGCTCTTTAGTGGCCACGGTCAAAGCAAATAAACAACCCTGCCCCTATTTTTAGTGAGATTTTTTTTTTAGAGGTTTTAAAGTGTATTCATAGCAAAAAGAAGTTGGGCTGTATTCATACGTTGGTATTTTATTTTTAATCTTTGAGTTTCTTCTCTAGTCTTAGAGCTGTGCTGCATTTTCTGCAGAGACCGTGAAACCTGCACGGGTCTATTTCTTTTAGTCTATTTCCTCCATTAATTGAAATGACCTTATTTGGGGGGTTTCCGTGATCATTTTTGAGAGCCAATCTAAATTTCAAGGTTCATTCATTTGTTTAGCCCATATTATTTTCATTTCCTTTCCTTGTAAAGCAGAGCAGCACACATAACCCCTCCCTTAGTTCAGTTCTGTGTTCATGGACTAAATTGAGAAAAATAATTGGAGATTAATTCTGCACTTGTTCTAATGCAGTTGTTAAAAGGTTTACAGTTGATTGACAGCAGGATTACTGGGGCTGAAAACTCTGGATTAGAACTCTCATATTCTTTTAAACTGGCTTGTGGAAGGTGGCATTTTATAAAAACCAAAGCAGCATGGCACAGAAATGGGGCTGTGAAGTGTTCTGGTTTTATTCTGGGTTCAGGAGGAACCAAATGTGAAATGACAGAAATGCAGCAGAGCAGCAATTTGCATTCCCCATACCAAGCAACCTCCTATTTATAATTCTGTCAGTTCTTCACATTTCTGTGAAGTTTCAGTGCGAACTTACTTTGTCTGTCTTTAAACTCCTGCAGCCCCTTGCTCTGTCCTGTTTGGTTCCCTTTGCTGCTTGCCACGTGTTATCAACAAGGAACTTCCTTTCCATTTCCCTTCTGGGTTGTGAAATAATTTTAAAAAGCCCCAAAAGAACATTCAGTTGTTGAATGAACTGGCAAGTATTGTGGGTTTTTTTGTAAGGCACACACAGACTGCAAATATTGTATAGAGTTTTAATCCCTGGCAGTGCCTGTGCCACAGTCAGACTTTAGGATTCCCATGTTCTGGAATAGCAGCTGGGAATTGTCAGTGGGTTGTTCCCTTTTAATAACTGATGACTTTGCACCATGTTATATTGCTAATTCCAGGTGCTCTCTGACCAAAGTGAACTTAGAATTTGGGGTTTTCTCTTCTTCATTATAATTTAATTCCTTGACAGTTTATATTTTCGCTTGTGCTGAGCCCTGTTCTTCCATTGAGAATTCCCTGGATAAAATTCCCTGGTTTCCCTCAGTGCTTTCCAGAATAAACTTCCCCAGCTGTGGGTTTGTCCTCAGTCAGGAGCAGCCCATCAGGGCCTGGCTGCAGCCCTGCATCTCCTCTAATCCTGCCTGGTTCTGTTTCAGCTCTGCCAGGAAATTTTCCAGAGCTGGACTCCAGGCCTTTCCCTCCATAATGAATTAACCTACAGCTCCTGTCCATGGAAGTGGAGCCAGTTGGTGAACTTTTAACAGAGCAGGATCAATAAAATGCATTCTTTGTACTTCTCTTTGCCTCAGGGAAGCTGCCCAA